ACAGTATGTATGGGAACAGGTTGAATTGGAATTGTATCATCCGATACATTCTTTAGCCCATAAAGACCAATAAGATTGGATTGAGCTGACATTAATGTTCGATCATAATCGGTTGAACGAACAACAATTTCACTAGCAGTATAATTCGAACTTAAAATTGATCCATAACGAGTACGAAGATATTGGCCAAGGCGATGATGTTGTTCAATACCAGCAATTGTTAATTGACCATACCTAAATAAATATATATAAATCGATAAGAAATTAGAAATAAAGATTGATTAATATACCCATTTGGCCAATCTTTTTCTTTCATAGGATCAGTTGGGTATGATTGAATCGGTGTTCGATCACCATGTCTGAATAACTAAAATATTGTAGATAGTAGCTTTGTTTTGAATTAAATAAATAAACTTACGACATGACCAGCGATAAGTTCCATTTCTTGTCCATTGATTTGATGTAGGAAAATAAAAAAAATTATCAGTAAACTCGCTTTCATGATTAATTGAAAAGAGGAAAAAATCTAGAATAAAAATCGAATTTCGATTAATTATACTGATAATAATAGTTTATAACTAATTCAATTTATGAATTCATATTAAATATTAAATTAAGAGCAAGTAATTATAATCGCCTACAGAGATTTAAATTTTTCCATTATAAAGTATCCAGTCTACTTGACGAGTCTTTGGTAATGTACCGAGTCGGCATTTGATTATTCAGGTGCTCTTTTGTCCTGAATCGATCGGTGGGGTTATAAACTTAAGAGTCGGCCTTCTATTAACCCACATCCTCACCTCACCCAAACTAACATTCATACATACATACACCCCATCCCAAACGAATTCCAATACAGACCCACAACCTCAAGATAAATAATATGTACAACGTGAATTATTTCGTAAGAATCTGATACTTGTAGAAAACGTCAAGTATTTCAAGTTCTATTTCATATTAATTCTATTATTAACAAATAATAATTATTAATTCGTTAAACGTTTTTATCCTTTTCCCTTTATTATATGAAAAAAAATACATATGTTTATTGACTTCCCCAACAAAAAATAGACTTTATATTATCAAATAAATAGAGTTTATAAGACAGAGAGATTTATTATCAGAGTAAATGTTGATCGAGATTTTATGCTACTTGTGAATATGTTTCACTAGAGAGAAGAGGTGCACCACGATCAGCTTTTCGTCGATAAATAACCACAAATATACCAGCAATAATAAGAAGAAGAGCAAAACCTGCGACACTTAAAATTATTATCATTTTCTTATTATTTCCATCACCACCTGAAATACATAAATAAATTAGTTTATTTAACAAATAAAACTAATTTACCTGGAGTTGGATTCTTTTTCATACATTCAACTTCAAATGTTCCTGGAAAAAGAGGTTTATAGATATCAGTAAATTTCTCAAATGGACATTCAGTTGTTGAGCAACCATCTAATACATATGGATATGGTTTATTTGAATCTGTTACATTTAAATATTCCACTTTGACAAAATAACTTGAATCTATAAGTAATCATACATGTGCTTACTTAGTTTTAATAAAAAGAAAAATCTTACTTTGTTTATAAAGATCAACAAATAAAGCAGATGCATACTATAATCAAAGATAAAGATTAATATATATATATATGTAATTCTAAATTTCTTTACTTGTGGTTGATGTGGATAATTAATACGAAGAAAAGCGAGAGCTGCACTAATTGTTGTATCATGCTAGAAATTATAATCAATCTTAGCTAATATCTCAAAAACTTCTGTTTATCTTACAGCTGAATACATTTTAAATTTTCGATATGAATTTCCATGACGTGAATTATTCATGTTTAACCAAATATCTTGAACTACTGGTCCTATAAAACATATAAAATATTCTTTAATGAACAAATGTCTTTGAATTTCCAATTTATTAACCTCCATATATTCGTTTTGCACCATCATTTGAATAGGGATAATAAAATAAAAAGTCGTTAATATCAGTTAAATTTTTTCGAACTGCATCATCAGCCCATGCAGGTGCTTTATTATGAATATGCTAATAAGAACAAGATTGTTTTAATTTATTTATTGTGATTCGATTATTACTTTAACATATATTGTATCAGGAATACTCCAAGTATTATACAGAGTCATATTACTAATATTTGTCCATATTTCAAGTTTTTGAAAAAATGGCTAGAAAGAATGAATTAGTTTGATCATTACGACAAAAAATATAATTATACTTCATAGTATGTATTCATTTTTTTGAATTCATCAGTTTGATGGAGTTCATTTCCTCGTTCCTCAAATTTTGGACAGTCGCCTACACCCAATAACTAAACACATAAAAATCAATAGATTATTTTCTGCGTTTTTTTTGTGACATACAAAATCTTTATCCACTGGAACAGTATGTATGGGAACAGGTTGAATTGGAATTGTATCATCCGATACATTCTTTAGCCCATAAAGACCAATAAGATTGGATTGAGCTGACATTAATGTTCGATCATAATCGGTTGAACGAACAACAATTTCACTAGCAGTATAATTCGAACTTAAAATTGATCCATAACGAGTACGAAGATATTGGCCAAGGCGATGATGTTGTTCAATACCAGCAATTGTTAATTGACCATACCTAAATAAATATATATAAATCGATAAGAAATTAGAAATAAAGATTGATTAATATACCCATTTGGCCAATCTTTTTCTTTCATAGGATCAGTTGG